TAGGTAAGAAAAACGGCATTCCCAGCAAAGTTGCAAACGATCTTATTTCATCTTATGTCACGTATGATCTTCTGTAACTTCTTATTTATGTTGCTCGGATTTTAATGATACTAACTTTTGTAGGGGCCCTAAGACATTTCTTCAAACTGCGAAAGTAGTTTTCTTAACAAATGTTGCTAAGTCTTGCCAGGATATAGCTGCCTTTTTTTGCCGAGAAGTTTGTTAGTTTCATTTTGGAGGTTCCAATTTGATGCTTCCGGCTGAAAACTTCTTTAGATCCGTATGAGAGTGCATTACGTCGGCACACCCAGAAGTCGCGATTGTACCATTATCGTCGTTGGTGGTAGCAGTAGGTTCCACATTTGCACCCGTTGTGGTATCGAAGTTGCCGTCCGTAGTGCGCTTGACGTTTTCGGTGGAGCTGTCCAGGTTCCCATCAGGCTTCACATTTTCATCGAGTCTTCCATTCATAATGGTGTCGATCCGCTCGGTTAATGTAGCAGTACTGGTATCCTTACGTTTCATGCTTAGCTTCATCGTTTGGTCACTCACAGAATTTTTTAGGGTGCTGATATTGTTGACACTTGCAAGCTTATCTCCTAGCTCGATCGTAACATCGCTTGGGCTCGTATCCTTTTCAGGATTAATGGCAGGAGCTCCTATGGATCTCTTTACTATTTCAAGGTGAGGTCGGAACATTAATAAGTAGACCACAAGTCAAAATCAAAAGCGGAATACTGTCAACACAGCCCCAACCAGTTTTCTGAATCCCCAGCCTGCTAAAAATGTAAATCCAGCGTATCCCATCCAGCGAGAGTTTTTATGGGCGTCATTCCAATGTTTTGACACTTTCAGACGATTCGATTGCTCGATCTCAAACTACGAATCAAAATGCAAGCTGGAGTTTCTGTCCCTTCGCCGTACAGATCGCATTAACAGGTATTTCCTTCGCTTTTGATACCACCAACGAGAGCAAAATTGTAGCAAAATATATTTGCATCACATCAAAGTCCGTAGGTATACAGCTAACATAAACATCTGCGTCATCACAGATAGTGTGCTGATATGAGCAAGTCGCATTGTTATAAACATAAGTGCCGAAGATGAGTGCCAGTGAAGCCGTCACTATAAATGATGTCATAAGGGCACAGCATCTCATCCAACGTGGGCGCATATTTGTATGCTTGTTTCGCCAGTCGAAACTGCAAAAAAAGGCTCTTTTGTCGACTGCGTAATCAATAAACCGCAGGTGCGCTCCGTCTACAAGTACAAATGATGCTAGTGATTGGGGTAAATACACCTGCCAAAGACAGAAAATTTCGTTCGAACAATTTCCTTCGTGGATAACTTCAAACTTTGCTTCGGCGTACAGCAGAATGACACCACGATGGCGTCTGCACCAAAGAGCGGCGGCAGCCAAAAGGTACACGGATGCCACAACGACGACCTCGTACTTGACCTCGATGTAGGATAGGTCAAAGTAGCGAAATACATCACATTCGAACGGTTCGTGGCACAGAACTTCAAGATAGTGTGACGTTCTATAGCGTCCTGACAAGGTACATCCAAATGCAGACAGAGCGGTATAAGCTTCATCACAGGACGAAACATTCAGAGATTGGCAAACGTCTTTCATATTCAGACCTTTACTCGGACTCCCGCCACTTGAATCCATTACAGTAGTAGCTGAGTTCACCATTTGAGTGGTTGCAGAAGCTGCTGTAACCACGTGGTTCGTAGACATCATAGCATCTCGAAATTTTTATGTCGCTGGAGCAGCTTTCAGAAACACTAGCGTTAGTGCATTACATATATTCTCGCGTCAGTATTTCCATCGTAATCGGCAATTCACTGCTGGCTCGGAGAGTGTGCTGCGGTCACGCACAGATGCCTGTCCGGCGAACCGTAACAGTTTGCTGAAATGCATACATCAGGATCATGGCTGAGGAGCCAATCGTAGATACAATCGCTCTGTAGCTAATTGTTGAACCAGCGTATGCTTTCTGACACAGACGTTCCATGTAATGGCGAACAAAAATATGCCGCCGCAGCTCTTTCCAGGGAGGTATGACTCCACAATAATGTACACAGTCGAGCTGAGCTCCGGTGTCACCTCTTCACGATAAGTCGAGAATGTTTTGCAAGCTCTACTTCTGTACGGTTCGAATTGTTGTATACAACCATTGCTCGGCATACATGTCACCCATGCGGACATCACTTCTCTTGTCGGGACCATTGGAAACGATTACTCAACCTGGAATGTACTGAAAGTAAAGAATCCCGTCATTTACAATGATGTCACGTTGAGGAAAAGGGTTTGTCTTGTTCATTTTCCACACCATGGACGTGGCGTGGCGGATGCCCCACAATGATGTGCCGCTAGTCGCGCTTCCACCGAGTCGCATGTCAGTCTTAGCACATGTGCTGAGAGAGATCCGCTGATCCTTTTGCTGATAGCACGGGGTAATTCTCAAACGCATTGGACAACCACCTACCCATCAGCTTGATGACGAGACGATCGGCACCTGCGCTGAGTAGTGCCGTCGCCCTGCCTATACGAACTGATTGCGTTGAGTATCTAATCGGATCCAATCCGGCTTTAGTAACAGCTCTGTTGATTACCGCGTTCACCGCTTCTGCTGAATTTTCGTCATCCCGCATTATGAGCGGGGGCTTTCTGGTTTTGTTGCAAACGCGGCTGCTGCCTTGTGTATCCACCTTGCTGCTCTGACTGGCAAATGACTCGATCTTTTGACTTGCAATGGTACCGGACTTCTTCGCGACCGAATTGATTGTTCTTTGCGCCATGCGATATAAAGCCGGCCACCTCTGCACGCCCCGTTGGTACGGCATTCTCATCGCGGTCAAAGAATCTAATTCCTGATAAGCTCAAGATGTAACTGTTCATCCTTTTCCCGATGAAGAGATACTCACGTCTCAACAAGAAGAAATACCTCAGTAGCAGCTCACCCCACAGATACAGATCGCGGGGCTCAGTAAGATGGATTTTCGTGAAAATGACTGGAAGAGGCCGAGTAGTCAGGGGCTGCTGCTTGATGACAGGGTCTGTAAGCCGACGTATCCCTCGAAGTAAGATGGCATGACTGGCATTAATCCCCGAACAGTACGCAGCTGTGTTACGATGAGCCCAGCACACGGTTCACATTATGGTGCTGATCGTGGAGTAGGTGTTGCCGATTCGCTTACGATTCATCCCGTACTGCCAAAGGTAAACTGCAAATGCACCAAGCTGTTCAACATTGTGATCCAACGATGTTGCCGGTAGCCACGAATTGTACTCCATCATCTTGTACCAAGCTGTCCACTGATTCCAAGCTCTGGAAGAACTCTTGCACAATGATTGGGCTAAAGCCCCCGCTCGCAATAACGCTCTCATAGATGCGAGAGATTTCGACAGCCGATTGGGACCTTCACCTGTTTCCATTCACGACTTAAGTTAGCAAAACGAAGAGCTAAATTTGTCGACTGCCACACCCTGCTTCCTGCATCCGCCATTTGGTTGCCGACATCGGCCACGTAGGCTGCCGTGAAGTAAAATCCATGACTGACCTCACAAATGCCCAAGATGCGAAGTAGCATTTGAGCAAAGCTGTTTCGACTAGCCTTGCAATTATCCCATACCACTGCCGATATACTATCGATCCAGAGCCGTATAAGTGTGTCGACATTGTGATGTTTGGCGTTCCAAAACGATCCCCACGCAATAGCAGCGAATACAGCGCTCATAAACTCACATACATTGATTTAGAGTTCGTTTGCTCCATTCTCGTTGAAGTCCCGTATTAGGTTCTTCATCTCGTCAATAAACTTGACTTGGATGTATTCCTTGCGTGATGGGAATAACGCGCAGATAGTCTATCACTTGCATCCATACGAATATGAAAGTCAGGTACATGCCGCTGGGTGAACCTAGCTAGCGGTATTGAGTTGAGTTTCCCCATTCGCAAGATAAATGCAAACCACCGTAGGTCTTCCTGGGCATCACTGGACACTTCCGTAGCACCAAATCGCGGCTCCATTCGTGCCAGCACCGCCACTAGCTGGAAGAAGGGCGATGCAGATCGAATGCAAGTGACGACATGACGAAGACTCCCCATTAACTTCTGTAGCCGCGTTCGTGGCGTTCTTGTGCAGTCGAGCATGTCCTGCAACCCAGAAAGATATTTTGTAATCTTTTCTGCTGGTATGGATATTGTCAGCGCTTGCCGATTCCAATCCAATCCTAGAGCTCTGCCTCGGACAAACTAACTCGTAAACCTTTTCCCGTTGCAAGTTTCAGCTCCTAAGACAGCAGCCGTAGCCGATCGAAGTGCAAGTTGTGCTTCAGGTAAATGCGTCCCAATGTCTGCTTCAATTACTGTGTGATCATCACACCAAGCCTTGGCGTCAAATTACCTCGTGGTGTAGATGGTTGCAGTGACCAGTATGGGGCTGAACTAGCGTATAAATCAGTAATCGCTGCTCCAGCAAACCGGGAGAATTCTTGCAGCCGAAAGGACAACACAGGTCTATGACGAGGGTCCCTAGCTTGAGTATCGTACCAGCAAATCGTCCAACCGTATTAGCAGCTAGAGGGATGTGGTGGAATGCCCCATTAACACCCCCGGTCATCATGCATTATAGACTCGGGTGCACTGTAGATTCGGGTGCGTTTCAGCCACATCTACGATGCGATTCGACAGTGCGTTATGTCCGTCGTATGAAATGTCAATATCCAAATCCGGTACCAAATTTTCGCTGACCGATCCTCCAGGTAGAACCGACAGGACATGAATAATCCGCGCGTCCACTGATAAATCTACTTCCCCTTTTTAAACTGCCCCAAAGGGGCTACATGTACCCCCTTGAAGTACAGAGAGCAGCTCAATATCGAGAATGAGATACTAGTTCGCGTCCTGACACGCACGTAGATTCTTTAGAGTGATATTTAAAGCGTCGAGCAGATCCGTGGATCAGGTGCGGTTGTGGACGATGTGGACATGGATCCTTCTACCGCGGCTGGACACCGTGCTGTACGATATGCTCTCACTGAGCACGATACTTGTAGGTGATCCAGGTAGGAACTCCATTCGGTATTTCAAAGGACTTGTTTGGTCGAGACCCAAGTGCCGTTTCACCGCATAGTAGACGCACAAACTCTGGTAGATGCTTTCCAGATTTACGAATTAATTCACTCTAGGCAAACTATTTATCACGATCGAGCAAATGAACCACCTTTCCCTTCTTGATAATTGATGACGGTAACTGCGTTATTGAGAACCTGTACCATTTCAAGCGGGCAACATTGTCTGGTATTGCCCGTGATTTCATTGTAATGAATTACGGCGGGCTGTCATCATATGAACAGTGAAGGTGCCTGAAAACGCACAAGGGTCCTGTCACTTCCGAGGGAATGGACCAACTTCAGCATCGACTGGACTTCGTCAGCGCGTATGCGCCGTGCAACTTAAGCGGAATCAAGCAAGCATGTTCGCACTCATCAAGATCACACGGCAGGGACAGGACCTCGTGCCAGCTTCAGACAAGTGATTACGACCGGGGACGTCCGTCGGAAATGCTTGCAGGGAAGGACGACGACGGAATCGGGCTCTCGTGTTCTACTACGTCCATGGATCATGACGGGGAAAGCCTTCTTGTTTATCCACAAAAGGTAAACACGAGTGTGGAAATCCCTCATACATAGTGGAACACAAATACTACCATCGAAACAAGAATGCAAATGAAGTCGACAAGACGGGACCAATTGCGTCGGAGAAGATTAATTCTAGATTATCCTTCTCATCCTAGTCATCTCCTTGCGAAAGCGAGCAACCTTCAGCTGTGACCGAGTCGGCAGAGCTCCACCCGCAATTTGTGCAACGTTAAGTTCGACCATACACTGCTCGCGCGTCGAAGGATTGCCGAAATGCACATGGAGAATGCCGTTACTAAATTACACCCGGTCATGAAGACGCACGAAATTGCGGTGCCATTTTTAACCTTGGGCTGATAAGAACCGAAGGGAAATCTGCTGTTGGCTTTGCTTCGGGAGGGCCTTTCGCACAGCGGCTGGAGTTCCTAAACGCTGAACCCGTTTATCGGGATCACCTTGTCGTCCCCGTTCACCGCGCGTAGTTGCCGCTGGTACTGCATTAATGGGGTGTAAAGTGGTCACGATGGCCTACCGCAAGATAAGCTGGCTTACACGCACAAATGACTCGTGCGACGAAGTCAAGTGGGTCTTAATCGATAAAACTTCGGCCCAAATCACATCAGGTACATGAGTGCACAACAATTCGAGTCAACCATCTATCCAAGCGGTAATGTCAGATAAAGCAGACGCTGTCGTCGGCATGTCACTGACACGGATTCCGCCAAACCATTTGCTGCATCTTTGAATACTTCTTGCACGACCGGCCGGTACAGCTGACGCGCGACACTGCATAGTACCTCGACGTCACCAGTCAACACTGAGAGGTCCACTACTGTCGGGGGAGTAGGTAGCGTGCTCTTTCTCGATAAATTGCTCATATCATAACGCCGGACATCAACTCGCTTCTAGACCTCGTTAGCTCGAGCGAAGTGCACCACGGAGAGACGTTTTGTTCCAAAATCGCAACCAAATAGAGCTCGAAGTACGGTGTGGTGCGGGAAGAACCTAATTTGACGCCAATGAATATGAACATATTCCACAAACCGTTGTGGTGTCATCCATGAGTACTTACCGTTAATGAGAGACTGGTGCGTTGCCCCTTGGATCCCGGTTGGCTGAAACTGGCCCTTGTCCGCGATGTCCGTCGGTTGTCAAACAGGTTCAAAATCGGGGTTTCGGGAGTTCAACCTGCTTCGCTGGAGCGAGATTAACTGGTCGATGGTATTGCTTGTTTACATTGCAAGAGAGCCATGGTCTAGCGTAGTGAGTTCGCCATCGGGCGACTCGCGAGTTGCTCCAGCCTCAGTGTTTAGCCTCCGGCGCTTCGACTATGACCCGTGTGTCCCCGCCTGGCTTCGCTGGGCCTCGTTAGCACCATCATCGGAATCACGGAGGCCGTCACTGGCGGCTACATCGCCCTGTACCGCTGTTGAGGACCGAAACGGTTCATGACGCACGTTACGCAGCTCGGACTCCACAAAAATACCTGCGTCATCGAAATATCGACTCGCCTATAATTACTTGAGCCGGGGGGGGGGCTCTCCGCTTTTGTACTAGACATAGTCCAGAATATGGCGTATCGACACGTGGATCATTCTGAAACCTGTAATATCGAGAAGCGGAAGTGAGACATTCTCGTCGACACTGTTATTACCTTCTACACCGAGGAGCTCTCCAGAATCACGGATGGCTGGCTGTTCCACTCCGTTAAACTGATTATACATGCGCTCACGTATCTGCAGCTTTTTTAAAGGCATGATGATGCTGACGCTCCGCCCCACACACGGTCTTAAGGCGTAGTTCTCTACCACCTCTGTGCCATTGAAGTTCACATCTAGCTTCCATAGCTCTTCTGCTCTTCCCACTTGTATCCCACGACAACCTCGTCATTCCATACGCGTGCACCTCCTGATGGCACCTGTGACGTACAAATGGTGATGCTAACGTACGTGTCAACTCCATTTAAGGCTTCGTCGGCAGCCACCGCCCAAGGGGTGATCTCAGCGTACAGAAGCTCCGCTCTTTCGGCTGACGTATTACCCCATCTGCCACTTTGCACAGGTTGGGTCTTGACTTTCCCTCTTTCCGTCGACGAGCTGGTCATCCGTAAGCGAAACAAATGAAACTAAAGGCTCCTGGACGCAGATTAAAATGGGCTGCTGGCATAGTTGTCGGTTAGGAACTTGTCCGGAAAGACGTCGCTTGGTGGTTGTTAGCGGTGGCGAGTAAAATTTCGAATGATCTCGAGCTGCAGCGTGCTATCGATCTCCTGTTAGATCTATCTATAGAGCCACTACAACATCAGGAAACTATGCTATCGTCTGCAACTGCTTTCAGCACCGTTGCCTCTTCAACCTGCAATGTACAAGTGTGTCGTTCCGGCACCGTGAAATGAATCCATCGCATTAACGGAAGATTTACTACCAGCCACACACGATTGGGTCTGGGCCTGGGCTTCCGCCACATCCAGCACATTAGGTGATCTATTACCACGCGTACAGAACGTTGTAGTCGCAAACTTTGATGTCGTAGCTGAACCGTCCGCAGCCCTCCTTGCCCAGTAGCACTGCGTTGGATTTGTCCAATGACACTGATCGTCCTCCAAGTACGCTGTGGTTCTTGTGAGACCAGATCAAGTACAAGTTTCTATTGCGACGTACGGGTTGGAAAGAAAAAAACATTTCCAGTAGTGTTTTCATGAAGGTTCTTGTAACGGGGTAAGAGTTACCGTCACTAGCTTACACTATAGTGGAGGAAGCTCGCAATAATAAAACCAAGTCTTAGGTTTGTGTCAAATTCAACTCTGATTTATTTAGGCTACCCCTGGCCTCGTGAAACACATGTCTACATCGGATTGGTCAATAAGTGAGTCTGGCTCCTTACTATTAACCAATCCGATGATGACACATTGGCACGCCCTACCCGTGTGCCACTTTACCTACTTATGTAATTGGAGTTGGGCTCATTACAGTTCTGCACACGGTCTCATCTCTTATCAAGCAGAACGTGACAGGATAAATACCAGTGAGTATCTCCATGCAAGTGGCATCTGCAACGGACGCGGAATCAGCCACTGTTGCAGCTACATGTACTGGTATTGAGCTGTCGTTGTTACACTCGGCTGCACTGTTGTAAACTGCGATTACTTTTAAGTTTGAAGCATTCCATTGGACCAATGTAGCCAAGAGAGACACTGCAATCCACAGTTCCACAAGTGTGCTCATGGAGAAGGTAGATAAGGAAGTGAGCTGGCCTCCAATTGGACAACAAAATGTTCTTTGTCACTGTCACGGTCTTCGGCTAGAGGAGGGACTCGCTATTCTGGATGACTGCCTGCGGCAATTCAGCGAGCGGCGTAAGAAGAGTGTCAGGCCCGATCAGTCTCTTTTCCATTCGCCGACTACCTCGTCCCTAGTCTAAAATGAAACGAAGGGGTTCAGACAGTGGTACGCTGACGCCGTTTACAAACTACGACTAGAGGTACTGGTGCTGGTAGGAGGTACTTTGGGCTGGTAAGGAAGCTCTCAGTCGTGAATTTTCTTTTTTTACAAGAAGCGCTCAAGAAAAAGAAATAAGAAACAAGTATATTTTACTCATCTATTACGTCTAAGTTCCTACGTCGGCTTTTACAAGATACACGACCCCGCAAGTGAAGAAGTCCGCGACAATTTGGTGGAGAAGCAGGGTATCTTCTAGCCAATTTTCGTAGGAACGTGAGAGAGAGAGAGCGGAGAGATCCGCTTGGAAAACCTTAGCGTCGAAGTACAAAGGCGAAGGTGCAAGGGAGCTGGGACGAGATGAGCTCCCTGAACTGGAACGATCCGATAGAGGATGAAGAACAGCGCCTCGCACGGATCCTGGTGGATGCTGACGAGGACCAAGTCGCTGACGCCCAGCTGCAGAAGGCGAATGCGGCGAAGCGGAATCCCGAATGCATGGTGAAACCGGAGAGGTGGCTGAGGTACAGACGGGACGAGCTGTAGAAGGTGAGGGAACGATCGGTCTAGGAGATGATGAAAGCTTGTTTGGCGCGTCACCACGAGTAGAATGATTGGGACGATCTTGGGGACGCCTCAGGGCAGAGCTAGCTTCCAAGCGTTTCTCGGGACTCTGGCTGATCGACCGACTCCCAGAAAGGAGCAGGCGCGGTCAAGGGAGGCCCGAAAGACCGAGACGACGAGTTCTGGAACGAGACGAGGAGTGTCTTTCTCGCTGGATTCGTCACGACCATCACTGAATCCGGTGGGCGAGACTGAGCGAGGAGCGACCTATACTGCGACAGCTGATTACTCTCAGGAGGGAGATCTTGGAAGGTTGTATGAGAGCGATGCCCCTGCGTCCTGGTCGCAATTTCGAAGCACGACCGACTTTCAAGCTTGAGCTTCCGAGCGGAGTGGAACGCCACAGAGCGTCAAGTGAGACTTTGCAAGCTCCTACCTCAACTGTACGCCGTGGAACGAAGCCCGCTAGTCAAAGAACGACGCCTGTGAACCGAGGAACGGCGCCAACGAATAGTGGAACGACCCCTGTCAGGGACGGGTCGATGCCTACAAGTGAAGGGACGGCAACGGCGGACCCGGCTCTTCAAGCCCTTATCGTCAACACCATCGGACAGGCCATGCAACAGATGGCTATGTCAAGTAGGTCCGTAGGAGCCCAACACTCTTCGTCGAAGGACCAAGGGTCGAGAGCGGTGGAGGCTTTGCCTCGACACTCGATGAACGAGTTAGATCGACTGTTGGAATCCCCGAGGAGTGGAACCCGTAGTCCCGGGAGAGAAACCATGTATCGGTCAAACCCTGAAGCTCGAACCGGCGGACCCACGTCTCCTATCCATTTGTACGAGAAGGTATCCGTCCAAGCACCCCGAACGTACGAAGGAAGAGGAGCGTATAGC